TCAACACTTAAAAGGTTAGACAAAATTACAAGATCCTTCCTATAGGGGAGTACCACAGAATAGAGGAAACAACATCTCTTTGCTTGGAAAAGAGTGTGTTTATCGAAAGAGAAGGTGGCCCGGGGATTCGATTGGCAAAAGATATGAACATGGCGCTCCTAGCAAAGTTGGGTTGGCGAATGCTTAACGATCAGACAAGTCTCTGGGAAAAGGTATTGCATAGTAAGTATGAAGTTTGAGATGTTCAGGATATGTCATGGCTTCAAGTGAAGGACAATTGGTCATCAATATGGATAAGTGTGGGGGTGGGAATAAGAGAGTTGGTAATCACGGGGCTGCGTTGGGTGCTGGGGGATAGAAGCAACATCCTGTTTTGGAGGGATAAATAGCTCTTAAATATACCACTAATGGAGTTAGTAGTATAAGCAATACCGGAGGAGCCTTTGGATGCTAGTGCTCGGGATCTATGGAGAAACAGAATTGGATGGTTGATCAATTAAATTGATCCTTATATCTTTACACATACTCGCTTGCATTTAGCGGCAGTACTTTTAGATAACATCACAGGAGCCAAAGACTTATTGTCCTGGGGAGAAACACAAAATGGGGAGTTCACAGTGATGTCTTCCTATACCTTCCTTATAGAGATCACTCGCCAAAACAGAATATGCAAAAGATGTTTGACCGGGTATAGAAGGTTATGGCACCAGAGCAAGTGAAGGCATTTCTCTGGTTAGTTGCAAATCAGGGAATAATGACCAATATGGAGAGACAGAGAAGGCATCTAAGTGACTCATGCATCTGTCAGGTGTGCAAGGAGGGTGATGAGTATATCAGTCATATACAGCCATATACTGCAAGACTGCCCTACCATGGCCAGAGTATGGAACCGGATTGTACCTACTAGGAAGCGCATGTTGTTTTTTCAGAAGTCATTTCTGTAGTGGCTTTATGATAATTTGAGTGATAATACAGAGGTAGAGGGCAGTTCATGGTCTACAACATTTGCAATGGCAATATGGTGGGGATAGAAATGGAATATAACAATGTGTTTAGGATAAATGGGAAATATCGTGATAGGGTGCGAATCTTCAGGAATCTAGAAATAGAGGTTTCACTTGCCTATGTAAATGTGAAAGGAAATGGTAATGCGCTTGAAAGGGTAGTGAGATTAATATCGTGGATCCCACCTCTGGATGGATGGGTAAAACTTATCACAAATGAGGCGTCACATGGAAATACAGGGCTTGCAACAGCTGGAGGAGCCCTTAGGGATAAAGTTGGGAACTGGTGTGGAGGGTTTGCGTTAAATATTAGAATATATTCAGCATCATTAGCAGAGTTATGGAGAGTCTACTATGGACTGTTCATAACATAGTAGCGTAGAGCTACTCGTCTAGAGTATAAGGTGGATTCAAAGACAGTGGTTGGGTTTCTTAACATATAGATAAACGATTCACATCCTTTGTATTCCGTAGAACACCTATGATGTGGCTTTATATCAAAAAACTGGATAATCCGGATTACTCATGTATACAGGAAGGCTAATCATCTAGGAGTGGATTAGCAAACTGCGTATTTTCTTTACCTTTAGGCTTACATTTGTTTGATTCAGTTCCAAATGATGTGATTTTGATTATGTTAGAGGATGCTAATGGGTCTGTGAGACCATGGTATGCCTGTTTGTAGTTCGACTATAACGTCTTAATAAATTGTGGGATACGATCTTTCAACCAAAAAAAAAAAGTTGGAAAGAAACAATAGTTTTCGTTCTTTTATTTTTTCATTTTTTTTCCTATCATTAATATTATTACTCTAACGGTCACAAGTTAAAATCTAACTAATCACCAATAATAATACAAAATTAACATAATAAAAAGTATAATAATAAATAATACATAATAAAAATCGATAATAATAACATTAAGTTACAGTCATAGTGTTAAAATAGACTGTCCACGCTCATTTGCACTTAGGCAGTATTGACCATTTTAATTGTGGATAAATAGTGACTATGTTCATAGACAACTATAGTAACGACCTTGTCAAGATGAACATTTCCATGAACACCCAATTTAAATTTATTTTAACTTTTATTCAATGACTATATAAATTAGTTTATTTTATATAATCGTAATTTTACAGTTTGGCCAAAAGTATGAAATTTTATAGTTTTTAACAGGAAAAAAGGATTTTGCAATTTTACTAAAAACAAAAACTTAGGGGGTGTATTTAAAATAGAATTTAGAGTGATTTGTATTAAAATCATAAACCTTTTGTTATTGAAACATAAATTTTAAAAAGTTGTTTAAAATTCAGTGTTATTGAACTAATAATTTGAAAATGTAACTTCAAATTCACTGTTATTGGAAATAATTTAAGTAGTGGATTTTAAGAAACTTGGAGTGACTTTAAGATGTTTTGATAGAATTTCCTAGTTAAAAATATAAGAATCCAAATCCCATGGTTTTAAGTGGAGTTTGATATATTTGATATCAAATCATAACAATTTCCATAATTCAACCAGATCATCTAAAAACTCATTAAAACTCAAATCCTTCCAAATCATTTCAAATGTTAAATTGAATACACCCCCCTTAGTATTTTGGGTCGATCAATGTTTATATTGTCCCAACCCATTTTGTTCGTGGATACCCAACTTAGCTTAACCTTAATTTTTATTCAATTATTACATAAATCAATTTATTTTATTCATTTAATCGTGATTTTATAATTAAAAAAAAACACAATAGGATTTTCGGTCAACCAATATTTCACACTATCTAACCTGTTTTGTTCATGGACAAAGTTAGACTTAACCTATTTAAACCAGCTTCATATATGAGTTTGTCCATGACCAGTCCATAGCAGCCCTTCCATTTTGACAGCTCTACTTTCTTTACTCTCATCTTCCATTACAATCACCACCACTATCATAGTCAATAACCATCACAAACATTGTTATTGTCAGCACAATAATCACAGCCATCATTATCCATATCAACGTCGTCAACATTATTATTGACCGTTATTAATACTATCAACAATCATTGTTAGAGATGCGTTTATCATACTCTCTTAAAGTCCTGTCTAAATCAAGACCAGCTCGTCTGATTATTTAACAAATCCCTAACTCTAGAGATTCATCAGAAAAAACAATTTTCAAGATAAAAAAAATATTTGAGAAAATATAATTAGAAATATCTCAGAATCACTACACATTTGGAGAAGATCTAAATCTCTATAAATTTTATCTATTTAATCCTTCTATAAACGAAGTACAAATGGCTTGATCCATTTTAAGTAGTAAGTACGCAGCTTTTCTTAAGATTCAACAATAAATAAATAAAAAAATTATAATTTAATATTCTTTTAAATCCATAAATTCTTTATTTTTATTAAGTGTAACTTGAATTATTACAATCATCATTAATGTCTTTTTTTCATTGAGAAATGAAAAAAAAAAAAGAGAAAGTGATAAACTTAGTGTGAGATCCAAACCTCACACTAAAGTTTTATGGAAATTTCAAGTAGGAAAAAGAGGATTAGATCTTCTATGAGTCAAAGATGAAATGTAAAATCAAGAATAAATTGAATTTTTGATATTAATCGGATGATCCATAGATTACACAGGGATCTCTGAAAAAGATGTATAAAGTGTGAACTAAGTATTGTTAGGTTACAAAGAAAAATGTGTTTAAAAGTAATAAGTATGTGAATGAATGTGATCGTGTCCTCCTCTTGAATGCCCCTATCCTCTTTATATCTTCTTCTGTTCGACTTCTTGAAAATCTCGTCGTATTTTAACTTAACAGTCTCTAGATATCTCAGATCAAACTGTTTCATGGATGAGACCGAATAAATGTATTGACTGATTATTCACCAAGCTCATAGTTTTACGATCATATTAAGAGAAAATCGAATTACGTTACACTAGTAGCTCGTCGACTGATAAGGTAAGTTTCAAACTCTAGACATTAATCCTATTACTTATGGGCTTTTTAGATAGACTGGATTTGTAACAAATCCAACACCAACACTTGGGAAAAAATTAACGAAATATCGTATACTGTTTATATGAAATAATTTACTTTATTGTTTTTTAATTTCCAAAACCTTAATCCTTCTGCATTGTAAAAATTATTCGTATGATGTATAACCAAACTCGCCATTGGTTTCCACAATGGCGAACCGACATATACCAAACCAATCCCCAACAAATAACCTATTTGCTAAATCATGACTTTCATCAGTGATCACAAAAACATGAATTTTCAATCCCTGCATCATTATCAGAAACAATTATAATAAGATTCAATAAACATATTGTATAATTAAACAATAAACGCAAAATATGAACTAAAAACCTGATCATCTGTAACAATTAACTCCAGTGTTCTGTGGACGGTACATATGCTTATTGACTGCCACCACTTACGAAGAACCTTCACAAACATAAACTGCATGTAACTCACAACATCATCGTTTTTCTGAAAGTCAGTTAGGTCTGTAACAACACATACATCCGTCAAATTATTGCATTCATCAGAAGAGTAGCGACACTCCACACAACTAACACCACAAACCAAAGGAGATGAATTTATCAGCTACCAACCAGTAGCTACTGAGTAAGTACACGTTTCACAAAGAAGCAAAACCTGAAGTTTGTGCAGACATCCATGAAGGCTTTGCGCTTGTTCTTTGCCTACAAGCCAACAGTCATCACAGATCAGTTGAGGAAAATTTCTTATTCACATATAATGTAATATTTTGCTCTAACTAAAAAAAAATTAGTAAAATCAAAATTAAAAATTTTATATTTTCAATATTTAATTTAAAATAAAAAATTAATTTTGATTTTACTAATTTAATATTTTAGTTAGAAAAAAATATTCTTTTATATATGAATCAGAACGTAATCAAAATTTTTAATAGTTTTTTTTTTTTATGTAAAATGTATTAAAATCACAAAAACGGAGGGAATATATTTGAGTTCGACTGTTCCTCTCTTCCTGATTCTATGAAACAATATGATAACTCTTTTGCATAACTTACATTTCGCACCCCACGTTTGTTTAAATTACAAAATCTCCCCTTTTCCCAGAGCATCTTCTTTATCAAACGTTCGCCTTCCCACCAAGAACAATCAAATCTCCTGCAACAATTTGAGAATGGATTCGTCTGAGAAAAACTCAGGTACGTAACAGTGGTGTTCCCAGATCAATTCCACTCCGAGATTTTCCGTAAGATTCTGACTGCTAACTACTTTCCCGGTTTCAGCTTGCGCACAGCAGAGGATCGTGATTCCGAACAGCCACAACGAGAAGCTCGTGGGTCTGCTTCACGAAACAGGGTCAAGAGAAATCGTGGTATTGTGCCATGGATTTCGATCCAACAAGGTTGGTGTGATTTAGCTGATTCGGTCGATTTTGATTCAATTCATTCTTTCTTCTCACTTACCCTATGAATCTGGAATCGAAATCAGTGTGATTCACCAACTTAAATCTTCAAGCTTTATTTTTTTCTCTCTGGTTACTCAGCTCTTGTGGTGACTGAGATCTGATATTTACTCGATCCATTTACAAATCATAGGGAAACTCTGTGAGATAGTGAGATGATTGTGATGAAGTTTTTGCCATTAGTAGCTCGGAATCTTGGTTGTTTTGGAACTTTCTTCGTTTTTTTGCACATAGAGTTAGAGAGAGAGAATGGGTGAATCTTGATTGTAATCTATATGAATGTTGAATGCAAACTTCAAATCTGTTGAATCCAGAGAACTCCTCAAGCTGTTTGCTTTATTCCAGTTAGATAGTAAGACATCAAGGGGGTTATCGTTACATATATTGGTAGGAGTTTCTTATGGATTAAGTTGTGTTTTGGCCTATGAACTTTATGCAGAATAACCAAATCATGAACAATGTGGCTGCTGCTATAGAGAAAGAAGGGATCAGTGCTTTCCGTTTTGATTTCTCCGGGAATGGGTATGTTTCTCTTTGCTTTGCCTTATCATTGATCTTCTTCATCGGTGAAGAAGAGAATGTGGATTGTGATTTGGTTTTTTGGGGTTCCATTGTTGCAGAGAGAGTGAAGGCAGTTTCTATTATGGTAACTATAACCACGAAGCCGATGATCTACGTTCTGTTATCCAATACTTCTCTAGCATGAACCGTGTGGTTCCTATTATTCTCGGGCACAGTAAAGGTAATTAGGACCCGTTTTGATCTTCTGCCTTGACATGGCAAGCGACTCTCTCAGCTTATTCTGACGAAGCTCAACTTTCAAATGCATAGGAGGTGATGTTGTCCTCCTCTATGCCTCAAAGTATAACGATATCCGCAATGTAATCAATCTCTCGGGACGTTATGATCTGAAAAAGGGCATAGGAGAGCGTCTTGGGGAAGATTTTTGGGAAAGCATTAAGCAACAAGGATTCATAGATGTTAAAGATGGTATTTGTTATATAAGCTTTTTTGGTTAGATTATCAAAAAAACTCTAGTGTCTCTCTATCAATGTGCTCTGGTTGTTGTTTTACAGGAAAATCAGGGTACCGTGTGACCGAGGAGAGTTTAACAGAAAGGTTAAACACTGATATGCACGAAGCTTGCCTCAAGATCGACAAAGATTGCAGGTGAGATTTCGCAGAGTTCTCTTGAAACTCATATCGCATGTTTGGGAATATAAACAAAGCCATGATTGATGTAATGGCATTGTCGGCAGGGTTTTGACGGTTCATGGATCGGATGATGAGGTAATAACAGTGGAAGATGCGAAGGAGTTTGCGAAGATCATACCGAACCACAAGCTGGAGATTGTGGAAGGAGCTGATCATTGCTATACCAAACACCAAAGTCAGTTGGTTTCAACAGTTATGGAGTTCATAAAGACAGTGATGGTAAAGAACAACTAGTCTTTTTTTTTTCTTGGAGAAATGTTCAGACTTCAGATACATTTTACATACTCACATCTTCTACGCTTAAACCCACTTCTGGTTTGTGTTTTTGGAAGCACCATAACAACACATGACATGATGTAGCAAGCTGCTTTAACATTAACAACGAAGATAGTAAAACATCCACAGTTCCTACATGGGTCTGTCACTTGTAGACTTGTAGTCTTGGGAGAGAAAATTCAAATTATTTGGATCATAAACGTATCTTGGTCATCCAGATTTACTAAACCTCATATTGATCAGTAATAATCACCCAAGGAAGAGAAAGCATAAAAACACGAAAATTCAAATAAATGGAACATGATTGGATTAGCAATAATAAAGCTGGTAACATAACATTCATACATTGTCTGCAAATAACCCAAGCATTCATTAACAATATTGTGCAAGCATAAGGATATGTTTAATAGAGGAAAAAAAAAACACCACTAATTATACCGGCCACACTTTAAGCCTCTTAATTAAGTTGCAAAGTTTGTAGAGAAAACCATAATAGCGTTTAATCTCTGGCTGTTCTTCTGGTTTTAAAAAATCTCTCTCTGGTAAAGATTAACTCCTTCATGGCTTCACTCGTTGGCAACCGCCAACCGATTCGTCGCAGATTCATCACAACACCTAAGTCCCACATCCAAAACCAGTGTTTGTGAAGAGAGGGACAAAGTTCATGGTGACAGATGACCTGATCATTACTCCTTCGAACTCAGCCTCAATCTTGGGAATGCTGAAGGATAAAGAGATCCGATTAGAGGATGTCGAGTTTCGAGTGATCAGTATGAAAAAAAGAAGAGGTAAAGCTTGTCAAAGATTCTTATTTGATTTCAAAATAACATATTTTACCAAATCCATTGATCCTATATATATGCATTTGTAGGTCATCAGACTATTGGGAGCTTCATTGGTGACATTTTCTGCCTTAAATGCTGGTCTTCTAGCTATGGTATCAGCTTCAACAAGTGCTCCTGGAAGCCTTTTTTAATAAGAAGCCGATGATTGAGACTTGAGGAGCGATGTTTAACCCGAAACTTCAAGTTCTTGCTAAAGTTGTCAACCTTTTGATTAGCATCTGATTGTTTGAGTTGCTATAGTAGTTTCTTGGACATCTCTACTTTGTCTAATCTTTTCAAATTTTAGCTACTAGCCATTTATTGTTCTTTTGAGTTTTTGTTAGACGTCCAACTTTAGCCTTTATGAACTAAATATTTTCCATATTTTTAAGGAAAGGTGGTGTTGACAATTTAAAATGGTTAGCTTAAAACCCCTAGTTTTCTTTTTTCTATTGCGATGGGTTTTTGCGTATTTCAAGCTCTTTGTATATGTTCCGAACATAAAATCTCTTTAGAGTTTTTATCAAGGGAGCTGCAAGCAGAGTGACACAGGTTATTTATTTCTACTCAATCTTTCGAAGTTTTGTGGTTATTTCAAAGGGTCGTTTCTGGTTTATTGTATTTAATGTCAGAATAGAATTGCATGTTTTTACTATCATGTGTGTGAATTACTACTCCATCTTTGAATTATAATGGAATGTTTGTGTGTTGTTACTATCCTTTGGGAAATTTTGCTTTTTTGTTTAATTTTTCTTCCTTCATCTTCTATAGCTTTGAAAATGGCTGAAACTTCTTTGGAGCACAAGTTTACTTTGAGACTCGTCGTTGATGAAGAGAAGAAGAAAGTCATTTTGGCAGAGGCTTGTAGTGACTTTGTTGATGTGCTCTTGAGCCTTGTGACGCTGCCAATGGGCACCATTGTCAGATTGCTTGAGAATCATCGAAAACAAGAGGTTGGTTGTTTAAGCAACCTCTATAAAAGTGTTGTGGAGATGGGCACTGATGATTTTGAGACCGAAGCATGTAAGCAGATGCTCCTTTGTCCGAGGAGTGTGAGGGATGTCCAGTGCAAAAGGCTTAAGCTCAACTTACACCCTACCGAGGGCAACAAGCTGTTTGCGTGCCGTACTTGGATAAGCTGTAAAAACGTGCAGTAACTTTAGCTCTTCTAGATGTCAATGTGGAAAGTTGATGAATCAGGATGTTCCAGTAGCAGGAGCAAAAGTTGTAGACAACATAGAAGATGGAGTATTTGTTAGAGGCAGGTCTTCATTCATCATAACTGACGACTTAAAAGTGGCAGTTAGATCCACTGACCTTGTCTTGAGAAAGCTCAAATCCGTAGGCTGTGGCGATTTCAGTAAATTTGAAGAAAGGCTTGTTGATATCGGTTTTGAAGAGGTACTATATGAATCTGCGTCTACTCTTTATGCTCATCCTCTCACTATGTCTTCTTGGTCTTGATATAGGTTATGACTCTGCTGCAATGTATCTTCTCCTCAAATGCTCCCTTGACGGACACGTTCTTGAACAAGCAAAGCCCACAAGGTGTGACCAAGACTTGCGAAACGCTGAGTTCATATATGGAGAGAAACGTAGAGGAATCCGAAGCTGAACCGAAAAAAGTTATAACTCTCAGTGCCATCGTGAGGAAACATGACATGAGGGTTTTGTTTGTTGAGTGCGGAGAAGACTTTGTTGACCTTCTCTTCACTTTTCTTGCTCTTCCGCTGGAATCTGTAGTGGAGATCTCTGGTGACAGCTCCACTTTTGGGTGCATTGGAAACCTGTTCAAAAGCTTCCAGGCCTTGAGTGCCACACAAGTTTCAGCATCCAAACCCTTGCTCCCTCACTACTACAGATGTCAGAAGCAGCTGCTCAACATCACCACTGCGCAGCGTCCGCCTTATCAAAGAACGAACTCTCTGGTTTTGATTGATCCAAAATCTCATGGAAGCGATCAGCCAACAGAGAGTAGTGGATTCGTGAAGAGAGACACCAAGTTTATAGTATCAGATGATCTGATCATTACACCGATGATCTCCACCTCAACCTTTTGCATACTGAAGAAGTTGCAGATTGAAGCAAAGGATCTCGAGGTGCAAGAAATATGCATCAGCAAAACACAGGTATATATATGATATCTATTCCCTTTTATCAAGTAGAAGAAACATTTAATGATTCTCCCAGCTAAAATTCTGATTTTCTCTAATCAGGCGACAAGTTTGTTGAGAGCTTCCTTGGTGACAACCTCTGCACTAAACGCTGCCTTATGGAACATGACTTTGAAGAATCCAAAGGAAGAGGCTTGAAGAAACCCATTGTCCATCTTTTTACTATCTCTGTTCTTTCCTTAGACACAAGTGTTTTTAGGAACTTGTTGGGTATACTAGATATGTCTCCAGAGATTTTTTCTTTTTCTTTTTTAGTTATTCAGACTTGACAGATTCCCAATTTTGGAGAAAGTATTTTTACAGCAGTGATGAGCAAAATTACAATCGCTCTTCGGAATCGTTAAAATTGTGCACTCAAGGAGAAGTTCAAAAGGCGTCTACTGGTTTGACGTTTATGACTCTTTGGTATTGATGAACAGTTATTATTCCTCTTAATTGTGGAGCCGCTAGGGTTTGAATATATGAGTGTAGCTCATGCAGTTTAAGAACTAAGAAGAAGTGGCTTTGAAGTAACATTTCTGACCTATGATGGCTGAAATTTCAGAGGAACCAAAATTTACCTCGAGACTTGTCGTTAATAAAGAGAATAAGAAGGTCGTTTTGGCTGATGCTTGTAATGCAAAAGCTGATGCAAGAATCGATAACAAAGTGAAAACTGATAAGTCTCTCATAAATGATTTGTTTTGCCCTATTTTTTCTTTTTCTTTTTGACATAATTTTTTGTATTTTTCGATGTTACATGCTCTAACATCATGCTATGACAAATGCAATGCTTCAACTCAATTGGTTATTGTTAACCATTTGATTGAGGCGGGTACTAATCCACAAATGCCCTGTTATGCTAGACTCAACTCTCAAAATGTGATGAAAAAAAAACAAATCATGTGTATAGACATATTTGTTTAAATTTGCTATTTATAATCTCATTACTAAATTTTTATTTTGCAGCAACCACTTAAAATTACAATTCATCAAGAAGTCGAGTTCTAATAACTAACCGTTTAATTGAGGCGAATACTAATCCACAAATGTCCTGTCATGTTGAATTCAAGGTAAGATGAAAAAAAAACATATATGTAATAGATATTTATTTGAATTTGCTTTTTATAATTTTATTATTAAATTTTTATTTTGCAACGATCACATGAAGTTGCAATTCATTATGCAGTTAAGTTCAGACTGTTAGGAGCTGTATTATGACCATAACTTATTGAGTTTTTTTAGTTTTTAATTTAGTGTATATATTCATAAAATAATAAAAAAAATCAAATTATTTCAAAATAAAAGTGGGATTAAATGTAAACTTATCCACAACAAATATTACCTAATAATTATTATTCTTTTGCACAAAGGTTGTATATTTTTCTGTTGTGTCTCCCAAAGACCTTTGTGAACCAGAAAAACATCTCCACTATGATTAATTTGAACCACATCTATGTCCAAATAAAATTGCGACTCTAATCCCTTCTTCCTGGCTAACTAAAAGACATTCTCATTACAAAAAGCTTGAGTTAAAGGTATAGATTGTTACCTAGATCTGTAGCAAATATCACATCTCACAATTCTCCCAATTGAATATAGTATGAGAGAAATAATGTATTCTATTGAATCCATGATGAAATGAAAGTGATAACAAAAAGAAGAAGAAAGTGAAAGAAAATGATTAGAAGAAGATCAATGTAGCCATTTTTTTGCAAGCGGCTAATTTGCGGCCACACTCTCAGATAAAGCAGTAAAAAGCTTAATTTCAGCAGCCTTTAAATCTTCGTAAATTGAGGCTGTAAATAGAGTAAATAAAGTTGCTGGATAAGCTGTAGTAAATGGCAGATATGCTAAAATGATCACGGGATTATTCTGGTTGAGCTCTTTTATATGAATACATATCTTGTTCACCAGGTCGATTTGGGCTAATTTTATCTTTTTCTTTAGTAGTAAGTCTGTTTCACATAAGAAATATAAAAAGTAATTGAATCAAACTGGGCCTGAACAAAAATATTTAATTATTACCTTGATGGATTTTGCATCTGACCTTTCTTACCGAATAAGAAGAATGTATATGTGTTTCTCCAACTAGGCCCGTGACGTTCAGAATGTTACAAACTTCCTCATCAGAGCCCATTGCATAAATATGTAGTGTGGCCCAATAGTAGTCCGTAAGAGGTTTGCCTGTGTCGATAGCGGATAATTGCTTTCTGATATCTTTTACAAGATCACTCGGCTCAGAAAGGGTAACTGTCTCCAGATCCATAAAACACTCAACTTCTGTTTCTTCGGTGTGTTTCTTGTTAAACCGTTGTGGTCGCTGACGGCTTCTGACTATTTACAATGGCTTGGGTATTTAAATTCACAGTACCGTCCGTAATAATTTAGAGGCTTCAAGCAAATTAAAAATTTGTGGCCTTATATTTCTACTATATATCTAATTCTATTGATAAATTTTTGTTTATATTTCAATTACACTATAATGTTATTTCATCATATACTTTTAATATATAGGAAAATAAATCAACTCAATTATCCAAGTATTTCAAATTATATAGAAAAAACACTATACTAGTATGGTTTTTCATAACAATAGAAAATACTAAAACAATTTAATTTTACATTATGTAAAACATTATGAAAAATATAAAATGGTAAAATGAAAAGTTTAGATAACTTATATATTTAATATTTAGAAATGTTAAATTATAAAAAAAAATATTTGTTAATGATTAAATGGTAAAAGTAAGACTAAAAACTGAAAAACAGTTAAAATAGATGTAATTATGAAATAAAATAAAAAAATATACAAAATATTATACAGATCATGATACTAATTAAATTACTAATCGAATCGTGTAAAGTAAAAATAGAAGTGAAATTATTACACTATATTTTATTATCTCATTTTTAAGTGTGGCCTCTAATTTATCAGATAAATTTGTGGCTTGAAGCACATGCTTCATGTGCCTTAAGACAGGTCTGTAAATTCATCATCCTTGTGATCATCTTTCCGATCATCATTGTCATCATCATCGCCATCATCTTCCTGGTTTATTCTATGGAGCGGGATCCTATAACTATTGGATATTAAAGATAAAAAATTTCAATACCTACAACCATGCAGTCAAGTTCCAATTGTTAGGAGCTGCATTGTGGTCATAACTTGCTGAGTTTTTGGTTTTTTAATTTAGTGTATATATTCACAAAATAAAAAAAAAAAACAAAATTCAAACTATTCCAAAATGAAAACGGAATTAAACCTTAACTTATCCACAACAAATATCATCTTTTGTTTTTACACAAATCTATAGATATCACCACGTATTGATGGCTGTCCTCCCATTCTATATTCTACAACCATAATTTACAGAAATACAATTGGACTGTTGAAAGAATTTACTAATTTTCACCACTTAAACAATACAATTGTGTAATAATTTTACCTGGTACGGCATAACCAATGGTTCCTCTGACACCAGCAAAGCTTAGTTGGTTGAAGAATGACTCTTTATCGAATTTCAGGAAAAGTCAAGCTAGACCAAAATCACTAACATGGGCTGTTAGATCATCATCTAGAAGGACATTGCTTGGCTCCAATACCTTTGTTATATTCTGATAGTAGTCTAGTGAGGCAAACCAGAAACGAGTGATATCACTCCGTCTAATTGCAAACCTCTGAGGTCCAAACGAGTAACTCTTTTGTGTTTGTGGCATGTAATCCCTTTCCAGTTACAGAGAGGGAATGAGTTATTCCATGCAGACAGGACAACTCTTTTGTCTTGGGAAACTTCAGACTTGAACTCGAGTAACGCTTGCCTATCAGTTTCAATAGTAAAAAGTTTCAATAGTAAAACCATGTGCTTCAGGTAACATGAGAGCGTTGAAAACCAGTGCAATCAACAGTGTAACGCCCCGACCGCTCCTACCGGTGAGCATACCTCCAACCTCTCTGGGGCTTGTGGGCCCATCCCTGTCCGACCGGTGTGTTATTTTTCCCAGAGCCCAACCAAATTATTTACTGACCCTACAATCACCACATGATTTGTCCCCGTGTTTTAGCCTCACTCACACGATTTTGGGAATCACTTCCCGAAAGATCACCCATTCTAGTCCTTCTCCAGCTCAAGAACGCTTAATTCTGGAGTTCTCTCAGGTCCACTAACCGAAAAGTTAAGTGAACTTTGGTGACATAGGTAGCCAAATCAATCCATTTAAACTTATTCAAATGGGTCGGGCCCGGGTCATTACAATTCTCCCCCATTAAACAGGAATTCGTCCCCAGATTCTGATCTCGACAGTGTGAGCTATAACCCCCAAACCCTAAGACAGTCTTCTGGGACAGAACCAGTTTGACTAACCTGGCTCTGATACCACTTGTAACACCCCTGGCAGCCCCTACCAGCGAGTCACTCATCCTTCTGTCCGGTTCATAGGCCTCGCCCCTATCTGATGGCCGGTGCGTTATTTTTCCCGGAGTTCAACCGACTTATTTACCGACCCTGCAATCATCACATGATTTTTCTCCGTGTTTTGGCCTCAATCATCACATGATCTTTCTCCGTGTTTTGGCCTCACTCATATGGTTTCGGAAATCACTTTCCGAAAGGTCACTCATCCTAGTCCTTCTCCAGTTCAAGCATACTTAACTCTGGAGTTCTCTCAGGTCCACTAAAAATTTAAGTGCACTTTGGTGACATAGGTAGCCAAATCAATCCATTTAAACTTATTCAAAAGAGCCGGATCCAGATCATTACAGACGCCCTCAACTCATGCGAACCCTAGGCGAGAGCCCCAAAACGCGTTGCACCGGAAGATCTTGGAATGTAAGGTAATCTCATTCTCATCTCCAACACAGAATCAATGGAAGAGGATCCTGAAGAAGACCTGGAGAAGAACCTCGGATATGAGCTGTTTCATGAAGCTGATGCACCGCTAAGTCCCACGTCGAGTTTCAAGTCCGCCTACAAAACTTTATTGCTAATCTATTAGGTTCTGTTTTTTTTGTATATTTTCTGAAAAGCAATGATGTATGGAGCTGAAATTGTGTTTGTATGTGATTGAGTGGTTTTATTGTGTTGCTATGTTAAAGCTCCAGCCTTTGTTTTACCAAATTTATGTGGTTTATCTATTGATAATTATAAATCAATTTGTGAAATCCTTGCTATGTTGCCAATAAATAAAAGTTAGACAAAACCATATCCATTTGAAAAATCATAAATGTTAAATCATAAATAAAAATTAAACAGAACAATTTACTCAATTCACAGTATAGACAACACATGTAATGATATAACCATGTATATTATACAATTCTAAGTAAATTAATGATTTGAAAATATATATCATACAAAATTTGAAAAACTATCCGAAACAAACAAAAATGCTTAAATTATATGATATTTAGGACTTCTTAGGACCGCTTAAGGCCGTTTAAAAAATGTTGCTAATCCCCAGCGTTTAGAAGGCAATCCCCAGCCACTAATTCAATTAACTAATTTTGTTCTTCAATAGGTTTGGTTACCTTTTCTTTTACTCTTTGAATTTTACAAAGTTGTTGCAAATAACTATTTGGCAATAATCAATTGGTCGATTTCTTGACAAACCCACGGTGTGATATAGATAAGTCATAAATATTAAGACATGCTTTGCTGTTTTAGACTTATTGACCTATTGACTTAGATGGCAAGAGTCTAGACGGCAACTGTCCATACCATTTTGGAGCCAATTTATTATCCCTATTTTTCTTCAAGTTGCATTATCATCACAACTCCACAAGGCAAATGATTTTTGCATTTGTTTCGTCCCTTATATTCACTTTCCTGCAAAGTATCAGAAACACCCACAAGCTTTTAACCAGCAGAAAAAAATAAAGAAAAAAATAAAATAAAGAGAGAAGCATGATACTGTTCCCGTCTCCAATTTTCAGTGGGCCTTTTTTTCATTCTTCGGCTACACCTCAGGCCCAAGCGAGCCCACCTCCCTCTTCTAACCAAAACGCACGTGTATTGGCGTATGTATCTCCCTAGAGAAGCTAAAGAGAGAGAAGAGAGGAAGAGAGAGCTCGTGTTAAAGGAGAAAGAAGGACGGGAGAGAGAAGCCGCCGCCAACGTCAGCGTAAGGAGCCGCCGTCGTTATCGAATCACCACCGGCCACCACAACACCATAGCGAGTCACTTGTCACCGGAGGGGTAGCCACTGTCACCGTAGGGATAGATCTGTAACTGCGAGCCCCACCGTGAAGTTTAAGTGTACACCTTAGATTTCCTTGCCCAGCAAGTCATCCCCACAACAACAACGTTCAGCAGGCTAAGGTGAGGGCGGATCTGATTCACTTTCCCATACGTTTTCTTATGTTGTATCACATTGAAATTATGGTCGGAACTTCATAACAAATGTGAGTTCGTGTTAAATCAAATGGTGCTTAGGATTATGCGAGCAACCATAATGTAGACATGCACCACGACACAACGTAAACTAGCATAATCCTAAGCACCATTTGATTTAACACGAACCTATGATCTCAACGATGCGTTTTACCACTCCTAAGCATTACTACACGGCATTACATGTTACGCCTACCAACGTACAACAACGGGAAGTTCCGACCATAATTTCAATGTGATACGGAGAAGTTCCGACCATAATTTCAATGTGATACAACATAGGAAAACGTATGGGAAAGTGAATCAGATCCGCCCTCACTACGGCTGAACGTTGTTGTTGTGGGGATGACTTCCCGCGCAAGGAAATAAATGTACACTTAAACCTCACGGTGACAGTGGCTACCCCTCCGGTGACAAGTGACTCACCGTGGTGTTGAGTAGTGGCCTTGTGGGTTTTTCTGATACTTTGCAGGAAAGTGAATATAAGGGACGAAGCAAATGCAAAAATCCTTTGCCTTGTGGAGTTGTGATGATAATGCAACTTGAAGAAAAATAGGGATAATATATTGGCTCCAAAATGGTATGGACAGTTGCCGTCTAGACTCTTGCCATCTAAAGTCAATAGGTCAATAGTCTAAAACAGCAAAGCATGTCTTATTAATTGAATTAGTGGCTGGGGATTGCCTTCTAAACGCTGGGGATTAGCAACATTTCTTAAACGGCCTTAAGAAAGCGGTCCTAAGAAGTCCTAAATATCATATAAGTTAAGCTTTTTTGTTTGCTTCGGATAGTTTTTCAAATTTTGTATGATATATATTTTCAAATCATTAATCTACTTAGAATTGTATAAGATACATGGTTATATCATTACATGTGTTGTTTATACGGTGAAATGAGTAAATTGTTCTGTTTAATTTTTATTTATGATTTAACATTTATGATTTTTCAAATGGATGTGGTTTTGTCTAACTTTTATTTATTGGCAACATAGCAAGGATTTCACAAGTTGCTTTAACATTATCAACAGATAAGCCACATAAATTTAGTAAAACAAGACTGGAGCTTTAACATAGCAACACAATAAAACCACTCAGTCAGAGACAAACACAATTTCAGCTCATACATCATTATTTTTCAGAAAATATACAAGAAAATCATAATCTGATAGCTTAACAAGAAATTTTTGTAGGTTTCATTGCAAACATAAAGGTAAAAAAATAAACGCAGGAAGTTTAAGCAACACGCCAACACCCATGCTTTTAAACAAATGTAGGGTCTGACTGGTATGTCAGATGAATAACAGAATAGCGGAATAACTGAAAAATTACTAACGGAATGAACTAAACTGAATAATATTTTAGCTGAATAATTGTGAAACGCTGAAAAGCTACTTTTAGTAGATTAATCACGTTTTGTTTTTTTAGTTATATTTTTAACATGCTAGCGGAATCACGTTTCAAAAACATAAAAAAACGTGAAAACGTGATGAATAACATGAATGGTAAAAAATAATAGAATCAAGTTTCCAAAACGTGAAAATGTGAAAACGTGAAAAAACTGTACACCATTCAAACCCGTAGCATATTTTAAAACAACACCATCTTGGTCACTCAGGGAAAACAAAAACATAAACACAACTGATTAGGAAATAGAAATGCAATACTATGTCGGCCGCTGTTCAAGCCTTTGAAGTGAGGTTGCAAAGTTTGTAGAGAAAGTCATTAACACTTTAACCTCTGGTTGTTCTGCTGGCTTTAAAGAACCTCTCTCTGATTGAAATTAACTCCTTTGTGGCTTCACTTGTTGCCAACCTGTTTGTTGGGTATTCTTCAGAACATCTAAGTCCCACATCCAAAACCAGTGTCAAGCACTCAGCAACAGGGAAACCGACTCTGAGACCACTGTGAAGAACTGATTGGTCTGCGATGTCCAATACTTTCTCTCCCAAAGCTGACTTGGTGTAGCTGTGTAGTGTAAAGTTCCCTCCAAATAACTCATTAGTTGGTCTTTTTCCAGTGAACATTTCCAAAAGGAGAACCCCAAAGCTAAACACATCACCATGTATTGATGGTTGTCCTCCCATACCATATTCTGCAACCATAATTCACGAATACAAGATTGAAATGAGAAAATACTATATACTGATTTTTTTTTCATATACAAAAGTGTAGTAGATTTACCAGGAGCGGCATAGCCGATGGTTCCTCTAACGCCAGCTGAGCTGAAATGGTTGAGGAAAGACTCTTGATCAAACTTGAGGAGAAGACGAGCGAGACCAAAGTCGCTGACATGGGTGGTTAGATCATCGTCTAGAAGGATGTTGCTTGGCTTGAGATTGCAATGAGCTATAGGTTCATGGCAATGAACATGAAGGTAATCAAAAACAGAGGCCACGTCAATAACTATGTTAAGCCTTTCAAGAAGTGTCAAAGTCCTTGACGGTTTACGAATCTCTTCGACTTTCTCTTGGTGCAACCACATATCAAGGCTTCCGTTAGGCATAAACTCATAGATAAGAGCTCTAAATTCGTTTCCTTGAAAATCAATACTCGAACAAGCCATCAACAGTTTCACAAGATTACGATGCCTTATGTCTTTCAAAGATTCACATTCTGCCATAAAGCTCCTCATTGCTCCACGTCTCTGCATGTTTAGAACTTTGACTGCAACAACTTTGTTCACTACAGGGAGAAATGCTTTGAAAACAGTTCCAAAACTGCCTGAACCGATCAAACTGCTCGAAGAAAAACCATCTGTGGCATTTCTAAGATCTCCATAGCTTATTTTTTCATGGAAGGCCCCCAGAGTCGAAGGAGTTGGATTATTGCTCTGAAGATTCTTCTTTCTTCTTCTGAACCAACGTAGAGAAGAAACTACGAACAACACCAAAAGAAAAGCTATGCCTACACTAACACCGATCACAACTTTCTTCAGAAGAGATGAATGATTTGTCCCTAGTGGTGGTGTTTCCACAAGGCATGGCTTTAGCTGCAACTCCCTGATGCCTCCACATAGTTTTTTATTCCGAAATACCGAAACTATAGTAGCATTTACAAATTTTCCTTCTGTTGGCACCTTTCCCTCGAGATTGTTAATGGATAGATTGAGATACTCCAACTCGGGAAACTTTCCAAAAAAATCAGGTATGTTTCCAGATAAATGATTTCTAGACAAATCAACTTGTCTAACACCCACCAACCTTTTGATATCTGGAATGGATCCATCAAAGAAATTTCCTTGCAAATACATAGCTCCCATCGAGAAAAAATTTGCCAAAGTTTGTGGGAGTTGTCCTGATAATCTATTGTTCCCAAGTGATAGTGAAACAAGATTTTGTAGCCGGCCAACATCTTTTGGGAGAGAGCCGGTCAAGGAATTACTTTCCATGCTCAGGTTAACAAGGGATGTGATTTGCATGATTTCAAGAGGTATAGTTCCACTCAACTTGTTGAAACCCATATGTAGATATCTACAATTACCAAGACTAGAAGGAATGGTTCCTTCAAAACTGTTGTTGGCCAAGTACAGTGTCACTAACTGACTGAGGTTTCCTATAGAAACCGGTACTTGTCCTGACAAACTATTTGAATGCAGATATAATTCTCCCAATCCTAAGAGTTTCCCAAGTGAGGTTGGGATTGGTCCAGTCAACATAGTTTCTGACAACCCAAGTGATTGTAAGCCAATAAGATTCCCAATGTCATGAGGAATGCTTCCAGTGATGGGATTACTTCCAAGATCTAGTTTAGTGAGAGTCCTAGACAAGTTGGCAATGGAAGTTGGTATAGGACCCCTGAGCCTATTACCAGCAACCTGTACGATCTCTAGTTTGGTGCAGTTAGTCAAAGTGCCAAGAAATTCAAAATCTCTAGAAGAGTAACTTCCTAAAGAATTCTCGTAAAGGGCAAAGAGTTGTAAATTCTGTACTTTTCCAAAGCTATAAGGAATACTTCCTATCAAGCTATTGATCCCCAGTGCCAAATTTTTAAGTGTCGAGAGGTTGGAAAGTGTTGTTGGAATAGCTCCTGTGAAATAATTACTTCCCAAAAACAATGTTCGGATCTTTGGTAGCAGATTACCAAGATCAGGCCTCAGTCTACCGGAGAAACTATTAACAGAGATGGATATGACCTTAAGTGAGGACCAATTGTAGATGGGAGAAGGAAAGTCGTCTGAGAAGTTGTTCATTGTTAATGAAATATAAACCAGTTGAGTCAGTCTAGCCATATCATCCGGAATTCCTCCTTGCATATTGTTATATGGCAAGTTATGACCCTTGAGAGATGTTAAGTTTCCTAGAGTTGCAGGGAGCTTCCCATTCAGGTTGTTTACACCAAGATCTAAAAAAACAAGCTTCCTCCATGTTCTGAAGGTACATCTCCTCCAAGATTATTTGAACCTAAACTAACCCTCAACAATCTAGAGCAGTTATACAGTCGGACTGGGATCCCTCCTCCCAGGAGATTTAAGGCCATAGACAAGTTTTCAAGTCTAAACAAGTTTCCCAACTCTTGAGGGATAGTACCACCCAGAGAATTTTCATCGAGATGGAGTGATATGAGAAACGAAAGATTACCAATAGATGGTGATATCACCCCGCCCAGCTGCAATCCTCCCAGGTCCAGACGTGTGACTCTCTTGTGTTTGCGGCCACATGTGACCCCTTTCCAGTTACAGAGAGGGAGTGAGTGATTCCATGAGGACAAGACAACTTTTTTATCTTCAGAAACTTTAGACTTGAACTCCATCAACGCTTGTCTATCAGTTTCATCGGTAAAACCAGGTGATTCAAGCGGCATGAGAGCACTGAAAACCAGTAAAAGAAATAGACTCATGCTTTTCATATATTGCAGGAAAGTGATAGTAGAAGGGGACAAACAAAGTGGCAAATGAAGCAACACTTAAAAAAGAGGAAATACATAGAGGAAGATGCTAAGACTTTATCTGAATGAAGCAAGTCAAGTCAACGCAGAATCATTTCACTAATGAATTGACGACAAGTTTCGTGTTTTGTCACTGCCAAAATAGTTTAATTGTGGTCTGGACTTTTGAGAAATCAACGCACAAAAAGACAAAGACCTGCATTATCTCTTCGTTTTTGTTTTTGTTTTTGGATTTGGCGTTTATACAAACATAATCAGGTGAATAAATGATCTTTGTTTCCAAACATTAAAAAAATAAGATTAAGGTAGAAATATGCAAGATACTGTATGTAGGTATATGCCACAAGTGTGAGATAACCGACCCCAATCCTCTATTCGATTCCAGTCCCGGTTTAGCTTCTAGTATACCAAACCTGTTCGGATTTCTTCCTTCCTTAGATGAAAACCGAGAACAACTTCAACATCAAGTACCACATAAGAGCAATGAAATAAAGTAAAGAAAAACCGTCTCATGCTTCTCATATTTGTCAGGAAAAAAATTGATTCAAAAGTTCAAAAACCGATTGAACAACAAAATTAGTAAACAAAGGTTTAAACCGGTTCATGGATCGGATGATGAGGTAATACCAGTGGAAGATGCGAAAGAGTTTGCAAAAGATCATACCGAACCACAAGCTGGAGATTGTGGAAGGAGCTGATCATTGCTATACCAAACACCAAAGTCAGTTGGTTTCAACAGTTATGGAGTTCATAAAGACAGTCATTGTGTCATCATCATCAATAGTAGCGTTGAAACATTCCAAGTTCCTAATATGGCAAGTAAAGCAGGAAGAGATGAGAGTTGTTCATGGTTTTGCAGTTCTCATCCTTAATATATAGAGAGAGTACATGACATATTGTTCAGAAGCACCAAAATGACTTATAATAATGAATTCTATAAATTTTCTAGTACTAGTAGTACACTGGTTTCCTATGAGCACGCAGATAAACTTTAGCATATTTCATCTTGAAATAGCCAGATACAGTGTCCAGTGCTTTCTTTCCCTCAGAGACTAGTTCATCATCATCTTTCTTCACATCACCAAGAGTAGCTTTCACCCTCGATCTACCAAGCTTCTTCAACACGCCTTCATCCTCGGAGAACTTCATCACAGCACCAAGACCACGAGCGTCTATCTCATCTAGTATCGGTTTCAAGTCTTCATCTTTTCTCAACTGCGCCATTCCCTCAGAAAGGTGCTTTGATGCCTCAGGGCTTGCGTAACTCTCCAGCTCCTGTTGCCAGTAATCACGAAGGCGCTGCCTCACTCTCAAAAATTCAGGGTTTCTCAAAGCGTTGCTGTACTGTTCTTGGAGACAGACCCTCCTTGTGGTATTAATCTAAAAAACTCCTTAGATAGCTGGATGAATCCAGGATCGTTGCTTATGTTATCACCCGTTTGCTTTGTGATTGATTCTGAAGAAGCAATAGTTCTCTCTAAACTTGAAGCCATCGGGATATAAACCCTAAAATAATTCGAAGCGAACGAGGAAGAAGTAACGCGCACACACACAAAAACCTAATCTTTCTTCCCACGACAAGTATCGATTCAATATATAGAATATATATATGAGATATAATCGTAATCTCAATATTTAGTTGTGTGAATAGATAATAACTCAGTATACGTTGTTATCCTAGATCTCTGTATCTATCTTGGATGCTCTCTAATCGTGTACATATACTGTGAGTCTTTCTTTAACTTCCTTTTGCAATTAGGTATTTTTCCTTATTAATAGATTTCTGTATGTGTTCATTCAATCAAAATTTTCCAATTTGGAGATATAATTAGCAGAATTCATATTTATTCAGTAGACTTTGCAAGATATTGCATCAAAAAATATCAAAACGATGGAAAAATAATCATAAATAATCAAGACTGTACATATAGTGCCATGAGAGCTCTGTGTCAACAACATTTGGGAGTAGACAAGTAAACATTTAACAGATTCAGAGAACACAAACATACGAAGAAGATGATAAATATATATATGAAGAAAGCATAAGTAGGTGGAAAGTTCTTACAGCCAAGTTCAGGCTTTATTCAGGTCTTATAGCCTTACCGGAGAATCATTACCGGGAAGGATATCAGACTAATGTTGGGTTTGATATCGGCTGCTCCGGTGCAACGGCAAAGTGAAGTCCCCTGCGTTGAGGCACACCACCACCGTGTATCATGAAGGCAACTTCCGCGGCAGCTAGAGCCGCTGCTTCCTGATAATCATAGAAACAAAAGCGGTCCACTTCTTGTTAGTATTTTAACAGAGTTTTGATACAGAGAGTGTTAGTGTTTCGTGTTAAGCACCTGTCTTTGCCTGCGACGTTGTAGTATACCAATGGCCCATGCCATGATGTAACAAGGGAGGAGAAAACCGGCGGCGCGAAGAAGGAAAAGCTGTTGACAACCAGAGAGAGAGAGCAAAACCAAAAAAAGAATCAAATCAAAGGTTAACAAGAAATACAAAGAAGTGTGCATACAGGGACCGTATTAAAGTAAAGATGTTCATACAGAGAAGAAGGCAGTAGGATCGTCCTCGTCATCTGAGTTAGTTGTGAGGTTTAGCGCGTCTCGTAATAGTAAAAGTGCCATTAGCTGCCATTACAGACATTAGTATTTGCGTTAGCATCATACGAGATTAGGCTCTGAAAACAAGAACACTGAGGAAAAGGGTTAAGCTTACGATGAGAGCAGCAGAGCGACAGAAGGCGGCTCCGCTTGAGTTAGACTCGGAGTACTCGTCATAGTCTGCTTCCAAGAAACGGCGCTCTGCTGCAGCCATTGCCAGAATCCGTGGATCGCTCAAGTCCAAGGGAACTCCGTTCTCCCAATCGTCACTATTCAAAATAACAGAAAAACAAGTTAGAGAGAGATGAGGCTGAAGAAGAGAAGGAGGTGATCACACAAAACGAGACAAATACCAAAATATGCAAAGTTTAAGAAAGTACATATAAATATGAAGACTTTTCAAAAGTGTTATCTTTCTCATGGTGTTACCAATAAAATAAACCATCATTAAGAATCTTACATGCATAGATAATGTCAGTTATCGATACCAATCACAGCAAACTGAGTACGAAAACTTACCCAATGTGAATTATAGTTTCATCAGGAGGAGGAGGAGGAGGTGCTGTATATCCATGTTGATAAGGCTGTTCATCAGAAAGAAAACAAAAGGAACATTTTTACAAATAGTAATCGGCATTCTCTTGTAGTTATAAGAGCGATAACACAGATGGCATAGATAAGTCCCAAGAAGTGATAAAAAAAAAACAATCAAAAAATCAAAATTCAGGAGAGGTGTGTAACATAGTAACTACAACAGTACCACAGAGATGAATATTTGCATTTGTGGTACCTTAAAAAGCTATGAACTTAGATTGACATAAAGATACAACAGACAGATTCATGTTCATCATCCAAAATTTAAATACAATTTGCATTTTGCGGCACCTTAAAATCTATATACAATTGACAAAGAAAGATACATTTTTTTTAATAGCAGATTATATTGATTACCTGGTGGCATATTTCGCAGGTTATGTCGCCTTTCTCATTACACCAACGCTGAACACACTTGCGATGAGCATACTGTGTAATCAAAATCCATGAGGACATATTCAAACCAATATCAACAAAAACAAAGAAACAATCAAACACAAATGGGTTTTTATAAAATAGTCACATAAACTACCTTCAAACTGCCATTACAAGCACAGGGAGCTTCCAAGTTCTTAGTGGTATCTTCCTCCTGGCAAATACGGCACTCAACAGATTGGAGAAACGGTTCCTCTTCCGCAACACCATAGTACTCCCTCGCTTCCTCAGCTTCATCCACAGACGAAGAAGCCAAGTCTGTGACTTGAGGCCTCGAGCTTTCCCCAGAAGAAGAATCTGAGGACTCTGAATCTTTTTGTGAGTTCAGGCTCTCAGCCGTTATGAGACGATCGGTACATAGACTCAGATGATCGGCCATTACTTAAAACTTAGCACCAAATTGATAGAATGTTGTTTGATCTGTAACAAGACGCTCCAATACTTTTAGAATCAAAAATCAAAAAAAAACATTTCTTGAATCGATAACCTAAGAACATCACTGAAAATTTCCAGAAACAAAAATATTCTAGAAATGCGGATAACAAAAAAAAGGGTTTGATGCTTCATATAATTTCCCAGGAATCAGAAATATACTAATCGAAAAAGCCCCAAATTTCAAAAACAAACAATAATGATTCGATCTCCAGAATGAAACCCTAATGTTCTACAAATGAAAAATCCAATCGCAGAAGGCAAAATTGAAGAATAAGCATTTTGAAGAAGATTATAATAATCGAGTAGAACAACAACATTACCTAGAGATGATTCTGGAATTGAAGGAAGAAATGATAGCTCTTTCGAAATCTGGAACCTTTTAAGCTCAAACGAAACTCTTAAAATTCGTGTTTGTGTTTGTTTTTGTTTCCGTATTCGGTCTGAGAAAAATCAGATAAACTTAATCTTTTAGCGCGTGTGTATAAAAAAATATCTCTCATACGTGTAATAAGGATTGAAAGAGGTTCGGTTTGTACGAACCGGAGCTTTGGAGCGTGGTTAGATAACGTCCGTTTAACGGCTACTTAAGAAAAGCGCTTGTAGAAATGTAGATCTCTCGTCAATTTGACCAAACGGTAACGGAAGTCGTTGGGTTGGAATTATTACATAAATGTTTAATCAAGATTTTCATCCAAATCAGATACAGGAATTAATTAATTGGTCCATGTAATAATTATGAGCTTAGATATCTATCATACAGGTATAACGGCTGAAAAAGAATTTATTTTACACAAATTAAATGTATTTTACTTGCTTTCAATAATGTAGACTAGGGTAAGGCAAATTGGACCAAGTTGCAGCTTTTAATTTAAGTTGAAAATCTAGACGTTCCCTGATTTCATACGAATTAGTTTGACTTTGACTTTTTCCTCTTTGGCAAATTCGGAAATTAATTTACTCATACTTAAAGTAAGTAAAGTGACTAACCAACAACTAATTATGTAGTATGTACTTCATTTGAAGCAAACCGGTTCGGTTTGAAGAAAACCGAAATCATGTAAAATCTATGTCGCTTACCGGTTTATCTTGACGTCGCTCACTCGGAACGCTTAAGCCCTAACCATCGAAGAACGAAAGCTTCAGACGAATTGAAAATGGTGGAGCAAGAAGAGATTGTTGATTCAGCTTCTGCTCCGGTTAACCCAGAACCGGAAGAAGACATGGAGCTCGAATCAGAGAGAGAGGAGAATGGTGAGGAGAACGGAAGTATCCATAAGAAGCAAAAGGTTGAAGAGAGGTCTGTGGAGGAAGAAAGACTGGAGAAGAAGACTGAGGTAAATGGGTCGGGTCGGGTCAAGCTTGGTCCCAAGGAGTTCGTTTCCTCTGTGGAGATGTTCGATTATTTTAACAAGTTGTTGCATTTCTGGCCGAATAATCTCGATCTCAACAAGGTAAGGAAATGTGGTTTTTCATCTCCCGGGTTTCAGATTGTAAAAGTTTGCATTTTGCTCATACCATTGTGGTTTGTGGATAATCAATATTATGATTTGGTTAGGAAGATGATTACTCGAATATGATTATAATCCTGTTTTAGTGGAATTTAGATACTGTGGGATTAACCATTGAGCTGTGTTATGTTCTTCACGGATGATATATGCTTATAAAGTTTGCAATTTTTTGCTTATACCCATTGTGTGAAAGTGAAACATTTGCTGGAAACTGCAATTCTTAAGAGTGAAAACTTTCATATGGCAATTTGGCAAATTAGTTGTATAAAAACTCAGAACAATGTTGTATGATTTAGTTCAATTGAGAAACTGTGGGATGATTTGTTTATGTTATGGTTAGACTATTCAAGTCGGCTCAGGGACTCAAAACATTTTCATGGTATGCTAAAATACATTTGATTGAAAGCGATCTTTGATTCTTGCAACTGTCTTGCTTTGATTTCAATACCCTCTAATGTTCAGCTTTTGTGTATCCCCTATGAACATATATATATTGACATATTGTTCTTGGTTAAACATCTCACAGTATGAGCGGAGGGTGCTACTGGATTTGGTGAAGAAGGGTCATCCCGAGCCCGAGAAGAAGATTGGAGGAGGAATCAAAGCGTTCCAAATCAGAAACCACCCGGTGTGGAAAAGCCGTTGCTTCTTTCTGGTGAGGGTAGATGAAACCGCAGATGATTTCAGCTTCAGAAAGTGCGTCGATCATATCCTCCCGTTGCCGGAAAACGTAAAGTCTCCCAAATCTAGTGGTGGTGGTCGTGGCGGCTATGGTGGACGAAGAGGCCGAAGGGTCAGAAGATAAGAGTGTGTTTGTTCCTTCTTTGCTTTTTTGCATTTCTTAATTAGAATTTAGATAAAATTTGAAATCTCCTAGCTCTCTTTTTTTTCTTTTTTGTTGTATGATAAAAGCTCAAAGGATATGATGTTTGTACTTTCATTAATCTGACAAAGAGAGATTACGTTAGACGTAAAAAGAACATTCTTCTTGTACTTATCAAAAAAAAAAACGTTCTTCTTGTAGAGAACGAAAGGAGTATATATATATATATATATATATATATATATATATATATATGTACATAAACGAAAATTACTTGGTATTTGATGGTTTCTCTAAACCTTTTATAAGAGAAAACAACAATACATATACTAATACGAAATAAGAGAAGCCTAAAATTAGCCAAAAGAAATTTCTAGCAACTTTTTATGGATCACCATAAGAGACGTGCAACACAGATTTACACACAACTATATAACTCCCTACTATACGTAAGAATTTTTGACAATTGTGTCAAGAAAAGAAAAAGAAAAAAAACAATACAATAATGTCAACATACCATTTTTATATCCTTTCGATCATCGTGATTTCCCTCTTACCTCTACATGAGTGTATGTATATGAAATATCCATCATTTATCATCATCATCATCATCGTTGTTATGATCATATACTCAAACTTTTCCATAGTTATAGTTTGTTTTTAATGGTTTTGTGGGTACAATATTACAGGTGCTGCACCCCCGGGGAGTCTTGATCCATCATTCTGCTTGCACGTTTATTGCAACGAACAAAGAACAAAAAAATGTTATTGCTGTTTTGGAACACCGAAGAACATCTGTACTCCTACTAAAGCAGAATGTGCGTCTGCCTGCAAGCGTCCACTACCAGGAGCATGACTCTGAAGAAAATTGAAGAGTGCGCATGTGTACCTGATAAATGAAGCAACTTTTACATTTATGTTTATCGTAACTATATTATATCTTTGGTTAGCATTTTAAAGTGTATGTAATGTAATGAACATCATTATAACTTTTCTCTCTTTAAAATAAAATTATCATTAAGATTTGGGAGAAAGATGAATGTGACCAAATGTAGCAACGACTGCCATTAAGCAGCAGTATTTTTCTCGACGTAGCTACTTTCATCGTTTTCAAGAAATGTTGAGGTCCATGGGCAGCAGCGACGACCACCTGATTTCTCTGATCTTATCTTCCACCGGAAAATTACATCTCCGGCAGATTCACGCCGTCTTACTCCGCACTTCATTAATTAGAAACTCCGACGTCTTCCACCACTTCCTCTCCCGTCTCGCCCTCTCTCTCGTTCCCCGAGACATCGATTACTCGCGTCGGGTTTTCTCCCAAAGGAGTAACCCAAGCGTCTCTCAGTGCAACACCATGATCAGAGCTTTCTCCGTCAGCGAAACCCCCGGCGAAGGGTTTCGCTTGTTCCGTTCCCTCAGACGGAAAACCTTCCTTCCCGCTAACCCTCTCTCGTCGTCCTTCGCCCTCAAGTGTTGCATCAAATCAGGCGACTTGCTCGGCGGTTTGCAGATTCACGGCATGATTCTCAGCGATGGGTTTCTCTCCGACAGTCTTCTCTTGACGACTCTAATGGATCTCTACTCCACCTGCGAGAAATGCAATGACGCCTGTAAAGTGTTCGACGAAATTCCCCACAGAGACACCGTTTCTTGGAACGTGCTCATCTCTTGTTTCCTGCGTAACAAACGTACACGAGACGTTCTGTTTTTGTTTGATAAGATGGTGAGAGACGTCGACGGATGTGCGAAACCAGACGGTGTGACATGCTTACTAGCTCTACAAGCTTGCTCCAGCTTAGGCGCGTTGGATTTCGGTAAACAAGTTCATCACTTTATCGACGAGAACGGGCTCGGTGGTGCTTTGAACTTGAGCAACACTCTTGTTTCCATGTACTCGCGGTGCGGGTCTATGGATAAGGCTTACGAGGTCTTTCGTCGAATGCGCGAGAGAAACGTGGTCTCGTGGACGGCTATGATCTCGGGTTTAGCCATGAACGGATTCGGGAAAGAAGCCATTGAAGCTTTCAACGAGATGTTAAAGCTTGGAGTCTCTCCAGAGGAAAAGACACTCACGGGTTTGCTCTCCGCGTGTAGCCATTCGGGTTTGGTCGATGAAGGAATGATGTTTTTCGACAGACTAAGGAGCGGCGAGTTTGTGATAAAGCCGAATCTACATCACTACGGTTGCATCGTCGACCTCTTGGGACGTGCTCGTCTACTCGATAAAGCCTACGGTCTTATACAGTCGATGGAGATGAAGCCGGACTCAACCATATGGCGTACGCTGCTCGGGGCTTGTAGAGTCCAAGGAAACGTGGAGCTTGGGGAACGTGTGATCTCTCATCTTATCGAACTCAAAGCCGAAGAAGCTGGAGATTACGTTTTGTTACTCAACGCTTACTCTTCCGTTGGGAAATGGGAGAAAGTGACTGAACTGCGTTCGTTGATGAAGCAGAGAAGAATCCACACCAAACCAGGATGCAGTGCCATCGAGCTACAAGGAGCTGTTCATGAGTTTATCGTAGACGATGCTTCGCATCCGCGGAAGGAAGAGATCTATAAAATGCTTGTGGAGATCAATCAGCAGCTGAAGATTGCTGGTTATGTGGCGGAAGTCACATCGGAGATGCACAATCTTGATTCAGAGGAAGAGAAGGAACATGCGTTGACATACCATAGCGAGAAGCTAGCTATTGCCTTTGCGATACTCGTGACTCCACCAGGAACAACCATTAGAGTGACCAAGAATCTCAGAACCTGTGTTGATTGCCATAACTTTGCAAAGTTCGTGTCTCGTGTTTACGATCGTGTCGTGATCGTTAGAGACCGTTCCCGTTTCCATCATTTTAAAGGTGGGTTTTGCTCCTGTAATGACTTTTGGTGAAAAAAATCTGCTTCAATGTCATGTATCAAAATCTTCAAAACTGAAGCCTAATACATTCTTTTATTCTACAACAAGAAATTATCTCGCCGATGCAAGAAAGATTAAACAAAACAAAGCAAAACTCCAAAATGATCAGAAGAAAAATGGTTATTCCGCTTGAACGAGAAGAAGCATGTCTTTTCAGATGGAAAATCAAGATTCTAGTTAGCAGGTTTGTTTGCAAATGCAACACCTTTCTCGATGCTGGCTTTGAGTTCTGTCTTGAGAGCTTCTAACGCCTTCTGCTCATACTCAGTGAGCCCTTGGAGGTCAGACTCGATCACAGCTTCAACTCCGTTCTTCCCGAGCTTGATCCGCGATGCAAAGAAAGGAAGATCCGTAAGACCTGAATCCACAAACGAGCATTCGTAGACATCTCCATCTCCATCAAGAGCACGTAGAGACGACTCGACGAATCTCGCTGCAGCATACGCCATCGACAAAGTCGCTGAACCTGCACCTGCCTTAGCATCCACAACCTCTGTTCCAGCGTTCTGAATCCTGACAGTGAGTTCTTGGACCTCTTCATCAGTGAAGTTGACAGAAGGTTTGGTTTTCGAGAGAATAGGCAAAATGGTGATTCCGGCATGGCCACCAATGACCGGAACATCAACATCTATGAGCTTAAGGTTCTTCTTCTGAGAAACAAAAGTGTTTGCCCTCACAACATCCAATGTAGTGACACCAAACAGCTTCTTGGGATCATAGACGCCTTTCTTCTTCAACACCTCGGCAGCAATCGGTACAGTGGAGTTAACCGGGTTGCTGATGATGTGGATGAAGGCGTTAGGACAGTTATCAGCGACAGCCTCGACAAGCGTTTTCACAATGTTGGCATTGATGTTGAAGAGGTCGTCTCGGGTCATACCGGGCTTTCGCGGTACACCGGCGGGGATGACCACAACGTTCACATCTTTCAAACAGTCAGCTAACTCGGCCGGTCCGGTGAAATCACGGACTTGAGAAGGAGTGTTGCAGTGGCTCAAATCAGCAGCGACTCCCTTGACATTGGCGATATCGTAAAGGTTAAGAGAAGAGACTAAAGGAGACATCTTGATGAGAAGAGACAAAGGCTGACCAATCCCACCAGCAGCACCAAGAACAGCCACTTTGTAAGAAGCGTTGATCTTGAACCCATACGACGCCTTGTCAGCTGTTTGGGATTTCATTACAGAACCGCGCAGAGCTGCCTTGCTGAAGGAAGAGGAGTCTGGTCCGCAGAGCAGAGAGGTTGACCTTAGACCGATGAAACTAGTGACTGAGTTGAGTTTCACAACATTTGCCCTCGAATGTGGTAAATAGCTGGATCTAGACGACGAGTGAGAAACAGTTGATCCAATTGAAAACGACGAAGCTGCTGTTGCTGCCATTTCTTTACCCTGTTTACACAAATTACAGGAAGAGTGAGGAAGATTGATTCATATCACTGAATCTGAGACATTCAATCAGAGATACCAAGCAATTCGTTGCACTTAATCGAAGAAGCAGAAACCCTAAACTACGAGAGAGAGACGTAAACCAGATCGAAATTGTAACAAACGATTCAGATGAGGCAATTGGTAAATCTAAGAAATTGAAATCCAGTTATGATAGATATTAATACAGTCTACTTTAGAATCGAATCGTATAGAACATAAAATAAGAAGAATCCAGAATTGAAAGAGAGAAAAAGAAAGAAACGAGAAATCGAGAATCTAACCTTGGAGAAAGCTCAAGACGGTTCGGTAGGAGTTGTGTTTCGATTTTGCTATGTTCGCAGGCTTTTCGAGGGTCGAGTGAGTGAGAGAGAAAAGCAAATGAGAGATTAGGTAGGTTGGTGACGAAGTAGGCAAAACAAAAAAAAAACTTATTTAAAATAAAATTAATTAATATAGAGAGAAAAAAAGAATTTGATTATTACAGATCTCCTCTGTTTGGCTGTCTCGTTGGATCCGCCAAGAGGTGTGTGTCTTTTAGTAGTGTCCGTACGACAGCCAAACACGGCGTTAACCTCATTTTTCCGAGATACGATTTAACATTTCTGCTTCTAATTTGCTTTCAACAGTGCAATTGTTAATTACGCTTGCCAACTCAATAGCCAAGTCTTTTTCTCAACATTAATTCAAACTCATTGTGAAATCGCAAACAATTCTTCATAATAGATTTAAATTCTTAAAAGCGGTGGGAAGAAACACCTTAGTTAGGAACACAACGGTCTTACAAAAAAGTGTACACAACATGTTAATGGTAGGTAACGCCTTCACCTTCAATAACCTGTCCAATGCGATATGCAACATAGTCGCCATTCTCAACTTCTGCAAGTATCCTCGAAGCAGCTTCGGGACTCACAACCATAACCATCCCAATTCCCATATTAAACGTCCTTCTCATCTCACTGTCTTCTATACTCCCACACTATATAATACAACCAAACAATTAATCATACATTCTACAAAGAGATTAGTTAGGATCGTTTTGGTTCATATGCTATATCTATGATTCTCTAATTACCTCTTGGATAAATTTGAACAAAGGTGGAAGTTCCCAAGCACCAGTGTCAATAACAGCACCCAAACCATCCGGTAAGACTCGGGGGATGTTGTCGGTGAAACCTCCTCCCGTTATATGAGCTAGCCCTTTCACTCCTCCTTTGTTGATAAACTCAAGTAACTGTGAAAATGGACTATAGTTCTGTGATTGGTACAACAAAATGAATAATGAACTATTTTTCTTAACCATAAAAAAAACACACAAACCTGTTTCACATAAATGACAGTAGGTGCCATTAGAGCTTCACCAAGGGAAACTGATCCACCAGGAAGTTCATCTTTCAGCGAAAGAGCGCTTTGAGCCACTACCCTGAAAACGATTTACCACAGTTAAAATAACTTTGCGTGCCAATAAAAAACGAAAAAAACCTCTCAGATTATAACTAACAAACATACATTCTTGCCAAAGAGTAGCCATTTGAATGAAGGCCACTAGAAGGAAGACCGATAAGAACATCACCAGCCACAGTGCTTTTCCCGTCTATAACAGAATCTTTATTCACTTGGCCTATCGCAACCCCAACGAGATCGTACTCGCCTTTAGCATAAAAGCCAGGCATCTCTGCAGTCTCTCCTCCTATGAGTCCATAGGTACAACCGGATTGCTTACAACCATCAACAATCCCTTTAATGACCTACAAACAAACAAACAACGAGCTGAGCACACAATGTTTGCAATTTCAACAATTAACCCCTAACGCAAGAAAGATCAAAGATGAGTGAATGAATATGATGATATACCTTTTCTGCAAGGTCTACATCGAGATCACTAGTACCATAGTAATCAAGGAATCCCAGAGGCTTCGCACCACAAGTAACAATATCATTCACACTCATTGCGACCTGAAAGTGAAAACCACCAAAAAGTAAAAAAGTAAAACCATGAGTGATCGAGTGTGTTTGTTTGGGGGGGGAGTAAGAAAAACAAAAGTCACATATATGATTTACCAAGTCGATTCCAATGGTTTCATGAATTCCGGTCTCAAATGCCAACTTAAGTTTAGTCCCTACACCATCCATACCTAATACGACTAATGTATCACCTGCTCAAACAAAACAAGACAAAACTCTCAACATTCAGGTGAATTTTTCTAGTTTTTTTTTGTATAAATGTACCTATTGGAATGCCACCACTGAATCCGCCGATCATGGGAGCCATCTTTGAGATTCTTGTAATGAGCTCAGTCCCAGCATCGATATCCACACCGGAATCTTTGTAAGTGAAGCCATCGTCTTTCTTCGACATTGATAAAACACAAGACGCGATTCTTGTTCTTCTCGTCGTCTGAGGAAAAACGACCGTTGACAACGGTCTCCGTGACGATGCTACGGAGGAGAAACGGCGGTTTCCGTTGAAGGACGAAAAAGAAGTTTTGATGATCTGGGATTCCATGCCCCTGAATTCAACAATCTGACAGGAAGCTCAACGTAATTAGCATTGGGGAAAACTTTGAAGCCAACAATAAAAGAATAAGAGAGAAATTGAAATCTAAGAAATTGAAATCCAGTTATGATAGATATTAATACAGTCTACTCTAGAATCGAATCGTATAGAACAGAAAATAAGAAGAGTCCAGAATTGAATGAGAGAAGAAAAACAAAAACGAGAAATCGAGAATCTAACCTTGGAGAAAGCTCAAGACGGTTCGGTAGGAGTTGTGTTTCGATTTTGCTATGGTCGCAGGCTTTTCGAGGGTCGAGTGAGTGAGAGAGAAAGGCAAATGAGATTAGGTAGGTTGGTGACGAAGTAGGCGTAAAAAAAAAAAAAACTTATTTAAAATAAAATTAATTAAAAGAAACGACAGACTCACAAAAAACTGAGACGACGTCGGAAGGCACTGAGTAGCTTTGGTATCCAGAGAGAAGGAGGGAAGCAATAAGATGTCCGAAGCGGGAGAAGAGGAAGCTGATAAAGAAAGAGGGCTTTTAAAACCCTAGTACCCCGTTAACTGTTTTTTATCAACACATAAGTTTTTTTCCCAGACAAAAGCAAAAGCAAAATTAACTTTTTTTTTTTTAATTCATTTCATTACCAAAGTACAAAAGAGTTGTGAATCTCACTAACATCTTTTACAGATAGAAAGCTGTTACGATCCAAATACTGGAAGCTGTGGGCCTTTTTTGGGTCAGGGGAATTGAAGCCAACAGATCAAAGCCCAAGTTATCCCTAACTCAATTTAATTACTTTTATGCCGTTATCTCTTACCATTGTGTATTTAGGAAACTGGTTTTGCCTTAGTACGATTATCACATTATTGATCAATCTAATATGCAGTGTGATTAGGATATAGATTCGCATCTTTAATGGTTATGTTCCTCCAAACAAAGAGGTAACAAATACCACATCTTGTGTTGTGCATTAGAGATATATATATATATATATATATATATATATATATATCATTGAAAAACAGAGCGGGTTTAAGTTTCCATGGTTATTCATTAGATCGGCCTTTGATTTCTCGTCTTTTCTCGTCTCTGCATTTGCACTGTGGCCTCTCATTGTATATGGCTGTATTATGCCTGAACCAAAAGCTTATGATCCATGATTACAAATGGTTTTAAACTATTTGATTATGCAGGACTGTGGACCATTTAAGGAACCAGACATGGAAAGTGGCTTCTCATGGTGTGGCAATCCTATTGGAAAGTGAGTAGATACCAAAATAAAATGACATTGAAAATGCTCTTAGACAATGATTAATGCACAGCTTTTGGAAAGCTTTAAAGAAAAAAAAAAAAAAATAAAAAAAATAATGATGTGGCAAACCTGAAAAGTAAAGTCAATTCTCTGAACACAGATTATAGGAGCGGCTCTTCGATGATGTAGCAATATCTGATTCGTCAATTTTTTTAATAATATAAAAATTTTAAGAGTTTTTTTCTGAACTCTCTGATGCGGATGCTCTTATTGTCGTGATTTAACAACTACTTCCTTCTTTTTTATTTGTTTAATGTTTTAAGATTTATATTTGTTTTTAAATATTTGATGTTTTAGCTTTTAGTTGATGTATTTAGTATTATAAGACAAGTATTAATGACAATATCTTGGTAAAGAAAGATGAAAAGTCAAAAGCACTTTTACGGTTGTGCAGATAATTATGAAATAATATTATGAAATTTTATTTATGTATAACCAAAGAAGGAGTACTCTTCAGTCTTACTTTACTTTATCATCTTAGAGAGTACTCTTTTTTTGTAACTGTTATTTTCATAAAATCAATGTACCAAGAAGATAATAAAAAGAAAATGTAAACTAATTAAAAAACATAGATTACTCTCCATGATGTTTTTAAGAAATTGAATAACCCAATAAAATTATTAATTAAAAACATAGATTACTCTATCACATGTATCAATAGCAAAATTTTTAGAACAATTTCTTTCTAAATTTATATATCTAAAATGTAAACTATAACATGTATACAGATCATAGTAAATCATTAGAAGTAGTATATAAATATATATCAATAATACAAAATACAATAATTAAATTTTTAAAAAGACACAAAATACCTGAATTCATAACGGAAGAATTTTCTGGTTCTTCATGAACTGCAACAGGTGCACCATTCTCTAAAGAAACAGATTTTCTTGGTGGACTTTTATTCAAATCAAACAAAACTTCTCTTTCGTTATTTTGAAATGGTAAATTTAGATCAAAATTATGAAAATCTATAGATGAGTTTTACTAAACGGTGTAAATCTAGATTCATATATATAGAGGATTAGTGAAACGTTTATTTTGGTTTTGGGTCCAGTTTTAAGTTGTTTTTGTTGAACAATGAAAACTGTGGCTCCAAATTTAATTTTTTTACAAAAATTAAAATGTCCTTTCAGTAACCAACTTCTTTTGTGTATGGCGAAGTAAAGAGTGCAATAGTTTATACTGCACTAATTAGATAGAGAAAATAGTAGTATTAAAATATGGAAAAGTCACAAAAAATAATTAAAAAATAAAAAGTGAATCAATGTAAAAATTTGTCTTAAAACATCAAACAAATAAAAACGGGGGGAGTATATCATTATACTTTATTTCTCCAGAAATGCAGAATACCTTTTGAATCTTGTTTTACTTTTTATTAGTTTTGTTTATAAGAGTTCATTTCTTAAGTATATCACCCTAAGAGTTTGAGACCAAGAGATGGTTGCAATTCGCGTCTTCTCACTTCGATTTTCTTCCAAAGCCTGACTAGAACTCCGATAATACATCGAATTTCATTTTGTATCTAAAGCCCAAGAGGCCAAGATGCTACTGATAGAATCTAATTCTATCAAAGGGATAAAAGAGAGAGATGATCGAGAAGAGAATGAAGTAACAGAGACAGTGACAAGCAAGAAAGAATTACCTCACCTAAATCACGTGACATCCTATCACTGATGGGAGGTAATTTAAGAGAGTCAAAGAGAAAAATTCGAATCATCAACTTGTGTAGTTCTGGTGGCATTTTTTTACTGCACTAATTAGATAGAAAAAATAGTAGTATTAAAATATGAAAAAAGTCATAAAAAATAATTAAAAAATAAAAAGTAAATCAGTGTAAAAGTTTATCTTAAAACATCAAACAAATAAAAATGGAGGGAGTATATCATTATACTTTATTTCTCCAGAAATGCAGAATACTTTTTGAATCTTGTTTTACTTTTTATTAGTTTTGTTTATAAGAGTTCATTTCTTAAGTATATCACTCTAAGAGTTTGAGACCGAGAGATGGTTGCAATTCGCGTCTTCTCGCTTCGATTTTCTTTCAAAGCCTGACTAGAACTCCGACAATACATCGAATTTCATTTTCGTATCTAAAGCCCAAGAGGCCAAGACGCTACTGATAGAATCTGATTCTATCAAAGGGATAAAAGAGAGAGATGATCGAGAAGAGAATGAAGTAATAGAGACAGTGACAAGCAAGAAAGAATTACCTCACCTAAATCACGTGACATCCTATCACTGATGGGAGGTAATTTAAGAGAGTCAAAGAGAAAAATTCGAATCATCAACTTGTGTAGTTCTGGTGGCATTTTTTTTGGCGGGGGAGATTAAGATTTGAAATCTAATTGTGACAACAAATAGTTGAAAGAGTAGCTCAATACTTATTATTACTATGCAAAGATGTCCACAGTTTTGACTTCTCATCGCAGGAGGAACCAGAGTTACACTTCTGAACACTATTATTGAGGATGGTATTGCAACTCAAAAGGAAAAAGGGTTGAGTCAACGGGAGATATGGTTCTATGGAGATGCAGCGAAGTCAAATTTAAACCCAAGTTTAACTCTAAGCAAACTTGGCACCTTTTAAGAGTAGTAACACCAATAAGGGAATGGCATAATTAAAGGAGTGTGGTTCACTCACGCAACTCCCAAATACTCTTTTACGACTTGGCTAGCAGTTCTCGGTAGGCTTTCGACGGGGGATCGAATGCAACATTGGAGCACAAGCGTAAACACCTCGTGTGTCCTCTGTCCTGAACTCATTGAAACACACAGTCATTTGTTTTTTGAATGTAGTTGGTCGTCCGCGGAGATCTGGAATGTACTCACCAGGAGAATTCTTGGATCGAGATATACAACACAATGGAACCAAATTCTTCAACTGCTAACTGACGAATCACAAGGTCATATTTGTTATTCCTTCTTTGATATGCATTCCAAGCAACAATCTACTCTATTTGGCGAGAGCGCAACAGTAGAAAGCATGGGGAACCATCTACTTCCCCAGGTCAGGTGGTGCAGTTCATAGACAAGCAAGTGAGAAACCGTCTCTGTACGATACCACGTATGCAAGACATGCGCTATGAGGAGGGATTAGAAACTTAGTTTTTATACCATTGATATGATCTCTTAGATAGCATAAAAACTCGGTCACAAATATTGTAAAAAAAAAAATTTTGGTTTGAATAAATTTTACATTCATTCAAAAACGAAAAATTATCACTTTAAAAGAACCAAAAAATCAGCCAACTAAAAAGAAAAGGAACAAATCAAGTAATCAACCATTAAACCAACTATTCAGCTCACTTAACTTGGTACACACACTTTTTAAGCCAAAATTTCTCCCGATTTAAGTCATTAGGCTCATATCATTTACACCCATATATGCTTAATTATTAAAAGCATCTCCGGATGTTACAACAACTGTAGAAAATATAAAGTCCAATCATCTATAGACTCCGATGTTAACTAACTTAATTCATAGTCAGTAATAAACTAATAATAATCAGACGTAGCTTACATAGACATAAGTTTATCGACTATAATTATATTAAGTGGTTTTTGTTCTTTATTGTTTATCTATTAGCAGTCGACAACGCATCCTCTTCCACGTGGCAAGTGACGGTTGTTGGCACCCGAACCTGGGTAATCGTTTAACTCCATTGCCATCCTTTCCTCTACGTCGTTCTTCACATCCTAAACAAATAATTATAAAAAAAAAATGTAAATAAAATTTTATAAAAAATTAATTATTACCTTACAAGAATTAATAAAGATGTAACTTGAGAACCAACCAGTAGTGTATCTGGTTGAGGTAGGTAAATTTGGTCGGGCCTCTCCATCAAACTCCCGAGTCCTTCGTACGTACACAAGAAAGAAATAATATAAGTTACAAACATCATTTGATGAAATATTTACATAAAAGAAAATGAGATGAAGTTCATACTCGAAGCATTGGTAGGGAAGAAGAAGAAGAATTGCGAAATAGTTATAAAGAAGATGACGAGGAGATGGAAGAGAGCTTTGTTGGCCATTTGACGATGATGATTTATGAAAGAAAAAAATCAATATATCAAAACCTTAGTTTTGTTGTGAGTTTTGTCTTGTGCTTTGAGTTTTTGTCTTTGTTATGGTTTCTTTTATAGTTCTCTTCTTCCAATTTGCGCATTTTTATACTATACTTATGGTGGAATGGACTTTTATTAATCATTAATTAAGAAAATTGGTGAAATCAAATATGGAAGTTTTTTAATCTGGTTTTCGTATTAAACCACCAAAATGTCTATCAACACAACAATAACACAACACAACAATAACACAAGTGTCTCTCCATAGCTTGACACATCAGCATTTTCAAGTTTTTAGAAGATGACACTTCAACAAAAAAAACACCAATAAAATCATTTCATTAATACAAGTCATCAATTTATTTTAACTTTTAAATTTAAACCCATTAGAAACTCAAATATTTTTTATTGTTAATTTTAATTTTATTTTTTGATCAAGCTCAAGCTCAAATAATAAATAACAGCAAAAATTAATATATTTTGCCAAACCGAAACTCAAATAATAAATAACAGCAAAAAAAAATTAAAATTTCTAACAATGTGTTTGCTTGATAGAGACGTATATGATTGAAGAAAGTGTAGACTCATCATCAACTATTCTTCTGTAACAACAATGCAAAAAGCGTTATGTTATAAGAAGCTCACACATCAGCAAAAATTTGAACCAATAAAAATATAACAATAATACATATTATTTACACACTAATAAAATCATTTTACTATTTTGCTGACCCATTAAAAAGCCGAAAATTTACAAAAAAATGGAAGTCGAAAGCAAATGAGGAGAAATTCAGACCACCACAGCTTGAAGATTCGCATTTTCCACTGGTTACCGAGAACAAATTTTCTTGGGTTTGGCGGGAATAGATAATTTCTTGGTTTTGGTAGAAAAATGTGATTTTCAGTTTTGGTAGGAAAAACATAATTTCTCGATTATGGCGGAAAAAAATGAATTCTTGGGTTTGGCGAAAAAATGTGAATTCTTGGTTTTGGTGAGAAAAAAAAAATTGATTTTGATGAGAAAATGCGAGGGAAATGCAACTTTTCAATTTTGACGAAAAATATGATTTCTCGGTTTTAATAGAAAATGTAATTTTTCGTCTTTTGATGGATAATGTAATTTCTTGATTTTTGCAAAAAATTGTAATTTGACAATTTTGGCAGAAAATGCAATTTCTCAGGTTGATAGAAAAACAAAGTTTCTCGATTTTGGCGGGAATACACAATTTCTTGGTTTTGATGGAAAATACAAATTTTCAGTTTTTGACATATAATTTGATTTTTTGGTTTTCGAGGAAAAATATGATTTCTTAGTTTTCACGGGAAACACAATTTCTCAGGAGATAATGCAATATTTGGTTTTCGTGGAAAATTGTAGTTTATCGGTTTTGGTAGGAAGACGGTATTCTTGATTTGACGAGAAAAAATAATTTTTTCTTGTTTTGGTGGGAATAGACGATTTCTCGATTTTTGCGGGAAAATATTTTTTTTGGCTTTGACGAAAAAATACTATTTTGGTTTTTGCAGGAAGATGAAATTTTTTGGTTTTGGTGAAAAAACTTGATTTCTCTGTTTTGACGGAAAAACACAGGTTCTCGCGGAAAAATGTGATTTTTGATTTTTGAGGGAAAAATACAATTTATTTATTTTGGTAGGAAAATGAAATTTCAGGTTTGACGAGAAAATAATTTTTTTTTTTTGTTTTGGAGGGAATAGGCGATTTCTCAGTTTTGTGGGAAAATAAAAAAAACTTGTTTTGTTGAAAAATGCAATTTATCGATTTTTGTAAAAAGATAAAATCTCTCTGTGCCAAATTTTTCAAGTTATAATATGTTTATAGTTACCAAAATTGAAAAGTTCAGATAGAACTTTCTATTTAGTTCTAAAGTAATAGTAATGATTTTGATATGAATGTTATTGATTATAGTTTGGTAGTTTTAGAAACATATGTTTATAATAAATATTTGATAAATAAGTAAATTTTATAATTTAAAATAATTATATTAATTAATATTTTTTTAAATGACAATTTGCTTTATATAATTTCAAATGAGGATCAAGTAGCAATTTAGTAGAGAAAATAAATTATATTTATCATTAGCATGAACATACTTAAAAATGTATTGTTATATTCTTACATATACATTTATAGATAGTTAGTTAAACAAATTTGATAGTAGATTATAATTTAAAATAAAAATAAAAAATTAATGATATATAATATTTATTCAGATTTAATACATATAAATACATAACTTAAGCTAATAAAAATAAATATAATACTCATTTACATTATAAAAATAATTTTATTATACTAAAAATATATATAAATCTAGAAAAATATTCTGCAGCGTAGCGCAGCTAAATATCTAGTATACTTGTTCAAGTATGAACCATTTTCTTTTCAAAAAAAAAATTCTCTTTGTTCAAGTATGAACCATTTTCTTTTCAAAAAAAAAAAAGTATGAACCATTTGCATATGTATAATATGAACCATTAGAAAATAGAAACATCTAGAGAAATGATCGATGGTGGTTAAAGTTGTGGAATTGTGGGAGCCAATGGGCATGGCTACTTAATTACGCGTGTCTGTTTATAATTAGTCATTGACAAATGAACCTTCATGGCCTACATGTGCTTTAAGAAAGTTCACGTTTAATTTGCTTTGTTACTTATAATTATCGAACATATATATGTACACTACACACGCCTATGAGACTGTAACTTTGGTTCGGTTTTGTGCTGTGGAATTTAACGGAAAAGATAATAACATAATGAAGCTCTATATACATTTCTCTACATTAAAGTTTCTTGAATGTGAAATGAGTTAAACTGTATAACAAGACTCAACTTTTCTTCCGTATATAAAGATTTTTAATTGATAATGTTCACATGAAATAAATAATTGTATTCACTGTTTACGTAGTCTCGTCAAAATGAAAATGAAACCAGTATTTAATATTATATACAACAACAAAAAACTTAATACTATTATATAGATAGATATGCAATTGTTTGTATATCGTGGATCCATTTTTTATTATCTCCACATATTTCATCCACCGTCTGAATTTTATGATTATCAAATATTATATACATTTAATAAAAAATAATCTCACAATGCGACCATTAAAGCAAAGCTATGTGAATACCAAATTTTGCTTACTTTCCGAAGATACTATTAAATCTTTAATGGTCATCCCTATAGTGGAAGATAGCTAAGCACAGACAGTACTGAAAAACATTTTCAATTGTGTGATCATGTTAATAACGTATAAATTAGTAATCCATTTTAATAAAGCTAGAATATATTGTAAGTGTAAATCTGATACATGCTTGTCAAAGTCACGGCACTAACTCTAAGTGATGTTTTTTGATCACTTCACGAATTTGGCTTCTATAGTGGCTAATCCATCATACCGCTTATTCTTTACATATTACGCCTATACGGTACCTATAATTTTATATATTTACAGCTTTTTGTACATTATTTACAAAATCAAACCTCAGATATTAAGGAATTGTAAAATTATATATTTGGAACTATTGATCGCTTTTGCTAACTTGTACATATATAGTACATTCTGGAATCTCTAATCGATGTCCGAAGAAAAGCTATTGCTAAATTCTGAAAATTATGGATTGATAAAGAGAATGGGCAGGAGAGAGGTCATACATGTATATTTTTTTAGTGTAGTTAAACTGTTTTTTTTAATCTCAGTCCACTTAGTGATATATAGCTTTATGTACATATGCATGCACTGCTTTTTCTGCAAAATGTCAAAATAGATCGCAATGTCGACCAAGCTTACAAGCACAATTGCAAAGATTTGTGTTCTTGTAAAGTTTCCCTTTTTGTATATTAAGTCAATAAGAAAATTTATTAAAAGTCAATAGTGGGTTTTGCTTATCACATCACACCTTCTCTCTAAGTTTCCCAATATAATAAATTAATGGATTGATATTTATCATTTCGTTTTCCTTTTTGTAATTGATATGAAAGTTCCAACCACTAACCAGTGCCGGCCTTGAATAAAAACAAAGCAAGCAAGTGCTTCTAGGTGCTTAACAAAGCAAACTAGATCTAGTTTCCAAAGTAATTTACCAAGTTTAGGAAAAATTGATTTGATGTAATGGTTTTAGCCCTCAACACTTTTGTTAGAGGTAAAGAGTTCTAAGCTTGATCATCCAAAATTTGTTTATTCATTAATGTGTCAAAATTTTGTTTGTGTGTGTTTAAACCTCTTTTTTTTACCAAAGCTTAGTAAAATTTAAGTGAAATAGTTCAAATATCATTGGAAGAATGATATCTAGCCAATATTGGTTTATCTCTCAAGTCTCCGAACGTTCTCATCCTGTCGTCACATCGGAGGCCTTTCTAAAGATCAAGCATCGATCTGGTCAATATTTTATATGGTTAAAATTTAAAGATGATACATTAATCGTTGATTTCCGTTCCAAATGCAAAGTCCTCAAAACTCATATGTTTAAGAATGATACAATAATCGTTGATTTCCGTTTCAAAATGCAAAGTCTCCAAAACTCATATATTTCTGCATACATCTACCCCAATCTCCGTTACCAATCCAATTCACCACTTCTTATGGCCCATTGATATATATAAAAAACCGTTTTTAACCCTTTTTTTTACCTTTTTAAACCCAACCCCCATATAAGTACTTATAACAATCACAACTGATAATTTCAACTGATAATTTCAACAATCACAACAACATTCTTTCACGGGAACAAGAACAAGATGATGGCTTGGCCGAAGAGAGATATCCAGAATCTTCTGGAATCCATTAATGGCGGAAACACCTTTGAGACAGCCAGCTACTATGCGTTGGGTTCCCGGTATACTCCTTCACAGTGCAAGGAGATGTTCCAACATCTAGACATGAAGGTAATTGTCAATAAAAACCAATTGTCAATAAAAACCATCACAACAGTGTGTTTTGCTGCCT